CCCGCAACAAAAACTCGGCCCTCGCTGAACTTGTTTACCATGCGGATGTTGGCCCTAAAGTGATAAATGAACATCAAAACGCATTGATATAACCGAAAAACGCACCTGTACTCGCTTACCCAGACGAGCTTGTTGAACGTGACCTCAGTTGGTACCAGTGATGTGATAGTCTCGAAGATCAGCTCCTCGCTCTGAGCGACCTTTGTCAGGTCTACATCATTGTCCGAGATGATAAATTGCCAGCCATCTTCGCCGACTTCGTCTGTTGGACGTAACGAAAGGCTGCCCATCGTCAACATACAAACCTCAAGAGCAGAAACCAAACATACCCTCGTTTCATGGTTCCAAATCGGTGCCAATACTTCAATACAGAATCAGAAGCAGTCCTTCATGGAATGAGTAGAAATCGGACACACCGTTCTATCAAGACCAACGCCACGTAAACGAATGTCTCCCATGACCATTCGGACATCCTCTCTAGTCTCGCCCAGGAACGTAAGCCCGAGGTGTTTGCGCACGATGCCTGTAAATCATAGCTCAAACTTATCCTACTATATTGAATTCGATCGCAACTCACCTTTAGCACCGTCCGCGCCGATCACCCACTTGGTATCGAAAGTCTCCAATATGCCATTCTTTGCTAGCACGGTCGTGACACCTTCGTCGGACTGCTCGAACGAACGCAATTCGGTGCCCATCTCGACGGCGCACGAGAATTTCTCTAGGTGCCGTCGCAAAATCACATCTAAGAGTTGTTGACCCATCATCTTTGGAATGTGCTACAATACAAACATAATTAGTTGAAAACAACGGTCCTGCATAGATGGTACGTACGAATGGTATCGCAGGGGTAGGTTCCAAATCCGGGACCATCGAAGATTCCTTCGGAGATTCCAACGTCCCAAGCTTGAAGGAACGAACTATAGGCATGGGTTTTCCCAGTTCGTTGACTTCTGGGACGTCCAGGAAGTTGAAGAGTTCGAGTGAGCGTGGCTAAATGATACATTAGATGAGACTACAGGGTATCGGTGGTTTCATGACAGACCGCGATTCCGGGACCACGCTGTCCGATGCGAGGATTGGGGTCCTTGTCGATGATGCGAACTGGTATGCCGTTCTGGAGGAGCGTCAACGCTGCCACCAGACCTGCTGGCCCAGCGCCTACCTAAGAGAGAGAAATCAAGATTATGGGGCGGCCGTCCTTCATGTGCAGTTCACTTACGACTAGCACGTGAGGACGAGTAGAATTCATGAGTAGAATCAGTAGATTTGTGAGGTTGTTGGAGCAGAATAATGGACGGTCACATTTTTTATCGTTTATGACATAGGGAAAGGGCGGTGCAGTAACGATCAGTGCCCTCCAGCTGCGTGTCCTGTGTCAGTGCCGCAGCTGATCATGATAGAAAGGAATCAGCGATGTCACGCGTTGCTGTTCAAGTTGGATATGTAATTTGTCAACCCGACTCTGGACTGCGGAGTCCGGATTAACACTACAGCTTTCATGATAGACGTTTATTAGATGGTATCAATCGATCTCGAGGAAACTCACAGAGGCTTCAGAAAGTCAGTCAATGCATCGAAGGCTAATTGTAAATTAGGAAGTCCTGACATTGCAGGTCTCTTAACGGTAGCACGCCCTCTTGTTTTGTCAGAATGGGGAGTCAATCTAACTCTAAAACTGTTCCAGAGCCATGGCGTCTCCGAGCTGATAATCTACTGGGTGAAGGGAGCTTTGTACGCCCATGCTGTGCACCTCCGTTACTAGTAGCAGAGCTTCTGACGTAGATATCATAACAAGATCAACGGCAGAAATACATTAATTGTTCTAGAAGCAGCAACAAGATCGACCGCGTCCATGTTGCCCGGTATCTACCTGCGCCACTACTGGTTGCTGTTGCGTATTGGGATCTGGCGTAGGAGGCCCATCATAGTCTTCATCACGTATCAAGGAGTGCTCACTTCCAGGAGCACCCGCTGCAGCATTGCGCTGTAGATTTAAACATCAGACGCCCAAGAAACAGTTATAAAAATGATCGGGCGTACTAGTCGACCCTTGGCAAAAGAAACGTCGACCACGGGTAGCGTTGCACGATGGGGTGGCAGGGTGAATAGGCGTCGTAGGTGTTTTTTCAAGGTGGTAGTGGCGTTTACCGGTGTTGAGGTAGTAGGTGGCGCAGGTGGAGGAGCTGAACGTGGGGTTCTAGTCATAGCGTTCCTGAGTCTTTTGAGACGCCCATGACGCTGCTGAGGTTGTGGCCGGGAAATTTGAGAATGCTGTAACGAATGTGAGAGGGAAAAGAAGGATATGCTGTTGTACCCACTTGATGCCTTCCATGGAAGAAATTGGGTTCCGTATCGTAGCCATCCTGACCTTGCCCGGGAATCTCTGCCTGCATAAAGGTCAGCACTGAAAGAGGCGAGGAAGGGAGTGCATACGCCAAGAATACGGTCATTCTGTTCAGCGAGCGCGCTACATCTTTCCTTAAATTCTGAGGGAAATAAGGGTGAGTATGATAACATCCTGCAACGTCAATGAGAACTTGCCGTTCGACCAATCGAGGCAGCTGGCCTTCGTGGATTCATCAATGGCATTCATCATGCATTGGTGTGCTTGGAGTGCTTCATCAGGTTTACTTGCTGAAAGGAACGCCTGGCACCGTTTCTGGTGTGCAGTGAGACACAAAGACTCGAGATCCCAGCCAAAGAGCTGGAAAAAGCACTCAGTAATGAAAGCGTTTGGTATACATCATCTTGGCGCACCACGACCAAATCCTGGCATGTCTGATCAATAAATGCCGATAAGAAAGCGCCTGAGTTGACAGCAGCAGTGAAGTGATCAGCAGCTTCATCGTAACGCGCATTATCCAAGGCTTTGGTTCCAAGCTGAACGCATAGATATGCCTAATGTGCGAATGATAAAAGTCAGTGTCGATCAGCGAGCATAGTGATACTTACTTCCACGACACGACACGCGAGAAGATCAGCATTCGAACAAGCGGCAGCCAGCTCTTTGATGAGCAGCATGGCTTCCTCGTGTTGATCTGCATTGAAAAGTATGATGGCCTGAAATACAAAGTGAAGCAGGGAGCATGTGAGACGAATTAAACATACCTTGATCAAGAGAAGAAAATGGTTAATTTTTGAATCTTGGTTTGTGAACATGGATGCGACATCCAATGCTATCCTTGCTTCCCGGACGTGGCCTTTTCCGCAGAGGGCTATGCCTTTGGAGATATAGCCTGTCAGCGAGGGCTGAATGCTGATGGACTATGTCACGAATGGAAGTTAGAATTTAGTAAGAGGGTCAGTAAAACTTACCTTCATTGCATCCCGAAGGGCATCATCACAGTCGTGTTTACGGGTCATAACAAATGAGCGATGTGCATATGAGATAAAGTCGTTGGGGTCAGTGTCGATCTCTTGGGTGAATAGCTCTTCAGCCGTAGACAGGTCCTCCGTTAGACATGCATTTCGGAATGTCGTCATAGTGAGTATCTGCACGAAGCATACTCGAATTGCGTTATGAGAGTCAAGAATAGAAGACTCACCTTTGCATTAGCGTTCTTTGGTACTTCCCATTTTGAGATCTTGTTATCCCAACTTCCGCCGAGGATGTGTTTGCCGTCCACAGAGAACGTGACACATGAATATGAATACTGGAAGACAGCAATAGTTTGCCGATCGGAGAGCAGCCAGAGATTCGATCCAGAAGCGACGAGGGTGCCAGCAGGATTAATGGCAATGGTCCTGATTTTGTCAGCATGTTGGTAAGGATGACTGACCTGCTGCCAGGTTGAAGTGTCCCACTCATGTATGAGATTAAGGTCTACTGAAAGAAGGCGTGTGCCATCGGGCGTCCACGCGTGTGTGCGACCAGTCAAAGATGCGACGCATTCCCTTGTGCCTGGATTATAAATTTGGATAGACTTTTTTGTTCCAATGGCAATTCGAAGTTCACCAGAAGGCGAATATCGAACGCAGTGGACATTACCGCACTCGATTGGATCTCCTTGCATCTGCCACGTTTTGGTACACCAAAACTTCACCGTGTGGTCATATGAACCAGTGGCCAGCACCGTACCATCAGGAGAAAAATCCACCGAGCTGATCCATTCGGAGTGGGCTTTGATGGGTTGGGTAATGGATTCGCCACTTTCTCCGTGCCAGGCGATGACCTCTCCATTTTCATCACCGCTTGCTATTATTTGACCATCTCGTGATACCGCCAATGCCTTCACCCCGCCGCTATGCCCCTCCATCTTCTTCAACACAACACCTGTCTCCAAGTCCCACAGACGAAGTGTCTTGTCGTCCGAGCCCGTAACCATTCGTCGCTTATTGGGGAACACTGCGACCGCTCTTACGCTCTTCTCATGATCTTCAAAAACTCGAAGGGGTGTTGAGATTGGAATGAGCTCCGACATTTTACTGGAGGTTGATGGTGTCGAGCACGGTTGAGAGGTTGTGGGTAAGTTGCAGAGGTGCGTGTATTGGGCGTTTTTATATGACTACCACGCTAACCTTCCCCGTGGCCATGGACCCTCAAGACACAAGGCAATTCACCATCACCGTTTCAGCAGGAATGCTCCCTATCAGTCATAACCGTCCTCCTCGGGTGCACTGTGTACATGCGTCCAACTCGTGTCTCTACAGCTTCCATGACATATTCCCTCCCATCCAAGTGCAGTTACTCCTTCCCGTCGCTCGAATGTGGCTGAACAATGAAAGTTCGACGTAGGTTGCTGCATAGATACCATTGTTTCTCGTGACGAGCAGTTTTTCACACACTTCCGAGTCATTATGTGACTTGTCTGAGCGCGCGTAGCTCACTGCACATATCGTCTCCTCATCTCGTCGATTCCAAAGATCCGCCTGTATCAGGCCCAAGGACTCGCGATCCCTCACCTTCGACTCGCTGTAGACTAAGTATAATCTAAACAGAGTACGGTGCGTCTTGAACCTTGATTCCTGTGCTCTTCAAGGTCTGAAAGAATAACGACGATAACATGAATTATCGCACTGATAATTGTATTTTCACATTGCTTGCTAGCGGTACTTTCACACCTTGTATCTCGTCGTCTTTCTGCGCTCGACCTCTCGTGGACTACATCGACTTCAGTAACAGCGCAAAAGAGCTCTTGCCCAGAATTTTGCCTTCCTCTATGGTATACCCTCCCAGTGCCGCACTGCATACATGCATCTCTGACTCTCGCCTCCACAGACCTTGGGATGTATCCCTTTGCAATAGATTATAATAGCCCCGTGAACCATAATGATAATGTGTTCTTTTCTGTTTCCAATGCCCTGCCCCACGGCAAATGATTCTCGATTTACTCTCAACAGGCTGTGCTGTCACCACCAGGATGGCAATTGAAGCACTACGAAACGATAAATAAAAATTTAACGTCATCTTATCTGGGAGCAACACCCCCATTTCCTAACAAGTCGGTGTGTAGTTCAACGCCATGTTGCTTTCACTATCAGTTTACAAACATACTACTATCGAAAATCGGGCTGTCCAGTGGGGAGCACAAAGTCGAAAAGCGACTACTAACACGCGTACTACACGCTGGTACGAATATGTAAGGTTCTGTATGAAGCAGTGAAGTATAGATTTCCAACAGCTACAAGGATACGGTCGTCGTGCGCAGCAAGTGCACTGCATTGCTCTTTGAACTATGTGACATGCGGGTGAGCACAATAGTCGTGGGTGATATGACGGGAGACTTGCCGTTGGACGAATCGAGGCAGCTGGCCTTCGCAATTTCGTCAATGGCGTCCATCATGTGTTTGTGTGCTTCGAGGACTTCATCGGGTTCGCCTGCTGAAAGGAATGCCTGGCACCGTTTCTGGTGTGTCGTTAGCAACAAGGACTCAAGGTCCCAGCCGAAGAGCTGGACAAAACACTCACTTATGCAAAGTATTATGTATGCATCACGCTGACGCACCATGACCAAGTCCTGGTATACAAAATGAATATATTTCGATGAGAAACCAGTGGAGTTGACAGCGGCAGTGAAGTGATCAACAGCTTCGTCATGACGTTGTCGTGGCCCCACTCTCCAAGGTTTTTAGGAGACGAACAAAGAGTTGCGAGAAATGGTAGCAAGGCAATCGGATTTAAAGTATGATGTGTGCTCGTGACCAGTCTAGCTGATGCACCACAGATGAGCTGAGTAGCGATATGTCAGACACTTACATAACATCTCAGAGACGTAGTAAAGACTGATTACCAGTCTAACCCGAGCGCACATGTGCGGGCACCGATCTATACTGCAATACACACGCATATATGAAACATACACCGTTTGAGTATCGTCTTTAACACATATGCAAATGCAATCCGCTCAGAGTTAGCTCAAGGTCCATAAACATCGAAACAAAAACATACGACTACAATATTTCTATGGTCCTGACGTCCATCAAGTCTCCGACAGAAACTACGTCGTTGACCTGTCCAATGATATCATGATCCGTCGCGATCCTCTTGTATTCTCCGCTGCGCTGCTGCGCTAACAAAAATGCACTAAAAGGCTGCCGAAGGCGAACGAGCAACCGCAATGCTCGTGATTCTAGGTCAAATATGTCCTGTCTTCCGGGAGAACCACCAGACGAGTCGTCTGATGGAGAAGAAGGCGGCGTGCAATAATCCTCCTCGTTCTCTGTATTGTTTTCATAGTCAGACGGTTCTACGAATTCAGGCAGTTTTGCAAAGTCGGGAAGCTCTAGGAGAGACCGATCCCAGGGACGGACAAGGACAAATTTTTGCTCAATCGGCCTTGCCGGCCAGAACTGAATCAGGGTCTCTGCGGTGGTGATAAACAAGTCCTGAAGTCCGTCTGCCTTCACTCTATACATGAAATCAGTGATTAGGGCTGGGCTGGGTACCCGTCTGATTTCCCTGATATTGAATGCAATGCAAGGCAGATGCAGTCTCTGTGCTGCGAAACGAGGGGCGCTCGTGTCCCGAAGTAGGGTATAAAGGTTCGAAGCAAAAGCCACAGCCTCCGTCTTTCGCAGAGAAGAAACTGATGACTGGATTTTATCTTCGGGGAGGAGTGTTAGTCTGTATGGTGGAGCTTCGTATGAAGTGATGGAGGCTGGTAGACAGCTGTTGAACTCTGATGACTTTCCGACCCAATCGAGGCCAGTGATGTCGCCCGACCGAGCCACGATCTCCTGCAGGAGCCGCCCGAGCGCCTTGTCCTGCTTCTCGCCATAATCTACAGGTAGGCGGACGCCAAAGATGCCAAACAACGAGTATGCGATGTCTTCCTGACGCGTGGTAATACGGGTTGACGCCCAATGAAGTTTTTCTCGGGCATTATGCATGCTGGGACGGAAGGCTGTGACGGCTTCTCGGTCTATGCCCGTCGCTTCCTTTAACTCCTGCATGATTGCGACCGAATCCTTGTGGTTGGGAGTATAGTCATTACGATAAAGAGTCCAGTCGTTCTGATAAAAGAGAATGACTTTGGGAGCGATGAATTCTTGAACCGTCCATCCGCGCGTGTTCCAAGCGCTCCTTGCCAGTGCATCAGACTTTGACGAAGGCAGAACATCAGACAAGTAGACAATGGTAAGCGCAGAGTGGTGATACCAGACGAACATGGAGTTAACCGATTGTTGGAGTTCGACGTTGTTGCTCTTATCAATGCAGCATGTATCGCTCCATGCCCCTTTATATCCTGCATCGCGAGCAGTTTTGCAGAACGACCGCAGTTTCGTCATGCCGCCAATGAGATCCAACTCCGAGTCGTATGCGCTGATGCCCTGGATATCCTGCAGCAGAGGCTCCTTCCCTTCCCACCTGTGTGATAGCATGGCATATTGGAAGTACCTCTTCACCACTTCATCGATGTGCTTCATGTGCAAATCTCCATGCGTGATTGTTGATGACACAATCTCCTTATACTCTGTGCTCATTTTGAAGGCGCTTATCTGCGTGTCTTGAACGCATAAAAGACCAGTGGTGGTGTCGAGTACACGCAGTGGAGCATTGTCGAGTTGTGCGTCAATAAACCGTCGAATGATACGTTCTACTTCAGAAGGTGTGAGATACTGCTGGCGCAGCTCTGTGGAAAGAGTTAAACATATCGACGAATGTGTATCAAAGGCTTACCTTGTGTCTGAACGTCGGGTGCATTGTCCAATTTCGAGAGCATGGTTTGGAAGGTCTGAATCGCTTCATCATAGTGCCGCGCACCATGGAGTGCTGCGTGCTTCAAATAGTATCCAATATAAGACGAAGAGTCGAGTTCAATGACCTATGTATTGCCATAATGAGTATTGGTTATGGGATGGTAGCTGCCATCGCACCTCCTGCGCATCGAGAAGTGCCTCCGTCCATAGCATTTTGCCCAACTTTGCCCTACTGCGATTTGCAAAGACAGTACCAGAGGCAGAATTCAAGTTGATTACCGCTGAGTATAGGTGAATAGCCTTGTCATAATTGCTCGCAGCGAGAGCGACATCTCCGTTGGCAGCACAGAGCACACTACATCGTCCCTTGAATTCTGAGTGAAATGCGGGTGAGTATGATGACCCCGGGTGACATAAGTAAAAACTCGCCATTGGACCAATAGAGGCAGCAGGCCTTCGCGGTTTCGTCGACGGTGTCCATCATGTGCTTGTGTGCTTGGAGGGCTTCATCAGGTTTACTTGCTGAAAGGAACGCCTGGCACCGTTTCTGGTGTGCAGTGAGACACAAAGACTCGAGATCCCAGCCAAAGATCTGGAAAAAGCACTCAGTAATGAAAGCGTTTGGTATACATCATCTTGGCGCACCGCGATCAAATCCGGGTATGTCAGATGAATAAATGCCGATAAGAAAGCGCCTGAGTTGACAGCAGTGGTGAAGTGATCAGCAGCTTCATCATAACGCGCATTTTCCGAGGCTTTGGTTCCAAGCTGAACGCATAGATATGCCTAATGTGCGAATGATAAAAGTCAGCGTCGATCAGCGAGCATAGCCAAGCGATACTTACTTCCACAACATGACACGCGAGAGGATCAGCATCCGGACAAGCGGCAGGCAGCTCTTTGATGAGCAGCATGGCTTCCTCGTGTTGATCTGCATTGAAGAGTATGATGGCCTGAAATACAAAGCTTGAAGCAGGGAACATGCGAGGCGAATTAAACATACCTTTATCAAAAGAAGAAAGAGGTTGGCTATTGAGTCTTGATTTGTGAACATGGATGCGACATCCAATGCTGTCCTTGCTCCCCGGACGTGGCCTTTTCCGCAGAGGGCGATGGCTTTGGAGATATAGCCTGCCAACGAGGGCTGGATGCTAATGGACTATGTCACAGATGAAAGTTAGCCTTAGTAAGGGGAACAGTATAACTCACCTTGATTGCATCCTGAAGGGCATCGTCCCAGTCGTGTTTTCGAGCCATAACAAATGAGCGATGTGCATATGAAGTAAAGTTGTTGCCGTCGGCGTTGATATCTTGAGTGAGTAGCTCTTCAGCGGTAGACAGGTCTCCGATTAGACATGCGTCACGAGCTGCTGTGATAGGCAGGATCTGCACGAAGGATGCTCGAATTGGGTTATGAGAGTCGAGGATGAAAACTCGCCTTTGAATATGGACTGCTGGCTACTGGCCACTCTGAGATCTTGTTATCTTGATCTCCGCTGAGGATGTACTTGCCGTCTGCAGAGAATGTGACACAGTGCACATAGGATGAATGCTGGAAGGTGGCGATGGTTCGTCGATCTGAGAGTCGCCAGAGACGGACATGATTGTCAAGAGATGCCGCAGAAGCGACGAGGGTGCCAGGGGGATTAATGGCAATGGCGTTGATCCATTTAGTGTGGCCTCGGTAAGGATGACCGACCTGCAGCTGCCAGGTTGATGTGTCCCACTCTAGAATTTCATAATCGTTTGATGAAAGAAGGCGTGTGCCATCGGGCGTCCATGCAAGTGTGTCACCTGTCAAAGATGCGACGTGTTCCCTTGTGCCTGAATTATAAATACCGATACTGTTGCGATCGCAAGAAGTTGTCCAGAAGGCGAATATCGAATGCAGACCCAACCACCGCACTCGATTGCATCTCCTTGCATCTCCCACGTTTTGGTACACCAAAACTTCACCGTCTCATCATGTGAACCAGTGGCCAGCACCGTACCATCCGGAGAAAATTCCACTGAGCTGATCTCTTCGGAGTGGGCTTTGATGGGTTGGGTGATGGATTCGCCACTTTCTCCGTGCCAGGCGATGACCTCTCCATTTTCATCACCGCTTGCTATGATTTTACCATCTCGTGATACCGCCAATGCCCACACCTCACCGCTATGCCCCTCCATCTTCTTCAACACAACACCTGTCTCCAAGTCCCACAGACGAAGTGTCTTGTCGCTGGAGCCCGTAACCATTCGTCGCTTATTGGGGAACACTGCGACTGCCATAACGACATTCTCATGATCTTCAAAAACTCGAAGGGGTGTTGAGATTGGAATGAGCTCCGACATTTTACTGGAGGTTGATAGTGTCGAGCACGGTTGAGAGGTTGTGGGTAAGTTGCAGAGGTGCGTGCATTGGGCGTTTTTATATGACTACAACGCTAACCTTCCCCGTGGCTATGGACCCTCAAGACACGAGGCAATTTACCATAACCGTTTCAGCAGGAATGCTTCCCATCAGTCATAACCGTCCTCTTCGGCTGCACTGTGTACATGCGTCCAACTCATGTCTCTACAGCTTCCATGACATATTCCCTCCCATCCAAGCGCAGTCACTCCTTCCCGTCGCTCGAATGTGGCTGAACAATGAAAGTTCGGCGTAGGTTGCTGCATAGATACCATTGTTTCTCGTGACGAGCAGTTTTTCACACACTTCCGAGTCATTATGTGACTTGTCTGAGCGCGCGTAGCTCACTGCACATATCGTCTCCTCATCTCGTCGATTCCAAACATCCGCCTGTCTCAGGTCCAAGGACTCGCGATCCCTCACCTTGCGACTCGCTGTAGACTAAGTATAATCTAAACAGTACGGTGCCTCTTGAATCTTGATTCTCATACTCTTCAAGGTCTGAAATGATGACGATAACATACACTTATGATTGTATTTTCACATTGCTTACTAGCAGCACTTTCACACCTTGTATTTCGTCGTCTTTCTACGCTCGACTTCTCGTGGACTACATCGACTTCAGTAACAGCGCAAAAGAGCTCTCGCCCAGAATTTTGCCTTCCTCTATAGTATACCCTCCCAGTGCTGCACTGCCACGTACATGCGTCTCTGACTCTCATCTCCACAGCTCCTAGGATGTATCTCTTTGCAATAGATTGCAATAGCCCCGTGAACATAATGATACTATGTTCTTTTTTGTGTCCAATGCCAAATGATTCTCTATCTACTCTCCACAGGATGTGCCGTCACCACCAGGATGGCAATTGATGCACGACGAAACGATGAATACGAATTCGACGTCATCTTATCTGGGAGCAACACCCCCATTTCCTAACAAGTTGGTATGTAGTTCAACGCCATGTTGCTTTCACTATCAGTTTACAAACATGCTACTATCGAAAATCGGGCTGTCCAGTGAGGAGGACAAGGTCAAAAAGCGAATACTAACACGCGCACTACACGCTGGTACGAATATGTAAGGTTCTGTATGAAGCGGCGAAGTATAGATTTCCAACAGCTACAATTTGAATAAGGTATGCAAAAATGAGTCGTGCTTGAAGACAACTTGAAGGAGTCATAAGTAATGAACGAAAACTCAGGCCACTACGCATCCAAAAATATTTTGGAAAAATACTTCTTCACACCTTCTGCACCATGTACGATAGCCCCAACCACTCCGTCCGGCCGTATCACAAACACCCTCGTCTGACCAGCTTCCACGAGGTAAGCCGAATAAGCGTGGCCCTTCTCATCAACAAGAACGAGGTCAGCACAGGATGCAACAGTAGCACCTGTCGCTGATGAAGGCAGAACGACTGCTGATCGCACGATGCCTGTGTCGTATGCCTCCAGCGCACCCAAAATCAGGGTAGCATCTGTGTGACTCGGCGCGAACACAAGCACAGTGTGATACCATGGTCTGTAGAGACTAAAAAGCGTCTTCACATCGGATTCTCCACCTCCCACCTGGACCAGATTTGGTGCATCAGGTGCCCTGTCTCCAGCCTCCAGTTGCCCCTCGTCAAGTACCCCATACGCATTGATAGGCTTTCCTGGAACTGCAAACTCGTCGAGAACGATGTCGCTGAATCGGCAATTGATACCAAGCATGGAAAGGATGGGACCTCGTGTGATGGCCATGTTGCCTGTCTTTATTGTCTTGTTGAGAATCGCGGTGGTCATCTCAAGCATCTCGGAGATGACAGGCAAACGCTCGGCATTATACGTCTCAAGGAGAGACTTGTCGGCGAGTCCTTTTTCGACGAGGGCAAGTTTCCAACCTAGATTGAACTGGTATACAGTCAGTAGCTTTATACATCATGGATTCGCAAGACATACAGCATCTTGTATACCTGAATTGAGTCCCTGTACAGAGATAGATGAGTAGGTATCAACATTTGATCAGAGCGCACACACCTGACCACCGGTTGGACTGTGGACACTGAAAATATGTCAGAATCAGTTTGGCAAGGAAGCGCTCAAAGATAGACATACTGAGCAGCATCTAAGTAGACTTCCATGAGCGCAGGTACATCAAGCAGAAAGTAGAATCACATACCGCCCGCAACAAAAACTCGGCCCTCGCTGAACTTGTTTACCATGCGGATGTTGGCCCTAAAATAGATAAACAAACGAACATTGAAGACGCGTTGATGTAACCAAATAAGACACACCTGAACTCGCTCACCCAGAGGAGCTTATTGAACGTGACCTCGGTTGGTATCGCTGATACGATAGTCTCGAAAATCAGCTCCTCACTCTGAGCGATCTTTGTCAGGTCTATATCATTGTTCATGATAATAAATTGCCAGCCATCCTCGCCAATTTCATCTGTTGGACGTAATGAAAGGCTACCCAGCGTCAATACACACATACCCAAACCTTGAGAAGAGAGACTGGACATACCCTCGTTCAAAGTTTCCAAATCGGTGCCAATGCTTCAAAACAGTATCAGGAGCATTCATAGGGCAAGTAGAAATCAGACGCACCGCTCTATCAAGACCAACGCCATGTAAACGAATATCTCCCATGACCAGTCGGACATCGTCCCTAGTCTCGCCCAAGAACGTAAGCCCGAGCTGTTTGCGTACGATGCCTGTAAACCATAACTCAGACTCATCCTGCTGTATTTGAATTCAATCGTGACTGACCTTTAGCACCATCAGCGCCGATCACCCACTTAGTATTGAAAGTCTCTAATATGCCGTCCTTTGCTAGCACAGCTGTCACACCTTCGTCGGACTGCTCGAAAGAACGCAGTTCGGTGCCCATCTCGACAGTGCATGAGAACTTCTCTAGGTGGCGTCGCAGAATCACATCTAAGAGTTGCTGACCTATCAGCTTTGGAATGTGCTACAGCATAAAAAAACCATCAGTATGGCTGCTAAAAAGACGACAGTTTTATACAGCACGTACAAATGGTATCGCAGGGGTAGGTTCCATATGCGGGGCCAGCAAAGAATCTGTCGCAGATTCCAACATCCCAAGCTTGTAGGAACGGACTATAGGGATGGGTTTCGCTAGCTCATTGACTTCTGGCACATTCAGGAAGTTAAAGAGTTCGAAGGAGCGTGGCTATATGGTACATTGAATGAGAAAGAAGAGCATCAGAGAAGTGATGTCGTGACAAACCCAAATTCCGGGACCACGCTGTCCAATTCGAGGGTTGGGGTCTTTGTCGATGATCCGAACTGAGATGCCGTTCTGGAGGAGCGTTAACGCTGCCACTAGACCTGCTGGCCCAGCGCCTACCTAAGGAAGAGGAATTCAGTTGAAGCGCGACCATCGATCATATGCAGTTCACTTACGACTAGCACGGGAGGACGAGTAGAATTCATGTGTAGAGTTCAGAAATTTTGGATCAGAATAATGGACGGTTACATCTTATAAGATAAGGGACTGCCGATGGCAGTTCGTCATACTTCAGCGTGTGCCCTCCCACTCAGTGCCGAAGCTAATAGAAAGGAACCGCACTGCCAGATGATTTGTCAAAACGCTTACCAGTGACTCCATCATGATGCGGCGGGTGCGGAGTCCGGACGCATTGCCATGGCTATGATAGGTGCTGACTCGGACTTCGAGCCATCAGATATTATTATTGATGTCTGTTCCCGAGTTTAAAGTGCCTTGCGGGGCTTAGCCACTGGCACAGGAAAGACAAACATACTTGCTGAATCCCAACATATATCGAGCGCGAACGTGTTGGTTACCACCGTGTCTAGACGATTCCAAAGTTATGCAAACAAAAATGTGTTCGAGTCAGAAGCGACTGCGGCCTTGGGGAAAGGATTGAATGAGAATACACCACCTAACCAGAATCGTCCCTTCTCTGGTCTCACACTCGTGACTGATTCTGTGACGCCTCGTTTTCTCGTTTGTCGATCCCCTTTTGGTACATCCTCATCGGAATAGTCACTGCCACCCCGTGTGTTGGTGAACACCATCTATCACCGAATACATACTCCCTGTAACTGGATCACTGAGAGACCAAATACTATCACTCATTCTTTTACCTAAATATGCCCTGATCAACGCCAATTGCTACGTGCCATCTGCGTC